AATCTAACTTACATTTAAATATCTATAAAATATATAATACATTCACCATTTTTAGGCTGATTTTTTTATTCTATCCAAATAAATATTATGTAAAAAAATATCAAATAATCAATTATATATATAAAAAAATTCAAAAAAGCTCAAAAAATCAATAAAACCCAATAAAATCCCCAAAATATCTAGTGGGATGAGCTTTTTTCAAAAAGTCCGGGTTTTCTCCAAGCCTGATATATCTTGACGATGTCATTTTTACATTTGTGAAAATCTCATGGAGTATCTCAAGTATGACGTCAAGCTACAATCAATAACTATGTTTGGACGCCAAAATAACAATAAATAAATTTAATATATATGTAATGTGTTTTAAAAATATGACTTTAACTTTTAATGTATTAATTCTTTGAAAGAACTGCTGTTCGTGTGTTATTGACTAAAAGTAAATAAATAAAAAAAACATCAGTCATTGCTTATGCATTTTGCAGGAGGCGAGAAGGTAAATAATTTTCTTAAAATAGATTACTCTAAATCATATTACAAGAATTAAATATTTTGTTATTTAAATCACAACCAATATTGCTTATGTATAGATAAATTGCATTATGTAGAAATTGTCTTGATATAATAAAACAAAATTTTTATACTTATGATGTGAAAATATTAACGATAACGAATTAATATATATTCGTTATTTAAATTAAAGAAATCTATAATCATCATCATGTGGAAAATAATATTATGCACGGTCATGGGCCTGGTGACCGCCGAACAGACTACTTTTCACAATTACAAGGTCGTCAAAATTAATGTGACTACAAACAGGCAGGTTGAATTGCTCAATCAAATGGCAAAGGATCCTGATCATGTGAGTAGATTGTTCAATAAAGATAAACGCAAATTAATATACTTTGTGCAAAAAGCTATCTTTTTTATGAGATTTGTATTGATCATATTAACTAAAATCCGAAAAAAAAAAAAGATTTGTATTGATCATATTAGCTATAAGATAAAAAAAATTAACTTCATTAAAACAGCATAATATATACAAATTTCTAAAATTCATATTGTATAATCAGGTTTTTACTTACAAAGGACCCCATACAGATAAGTTGCTATTTTGGGTCTAATCGAACTGAAAAATATCTTTATTTACTATTCATTTTTTAGTAATTGTACCTTAGTAGGTATTTTTATATGCACAGAATAATAAGATATGAATCAATGAGGTAAAGAAAAATTGATGTAAAGAGAACACATAATAAAATATCACAGTTTCAGTCAATTTCACCGCAGCCATATGATTATAGTGTGAAGTCCTTTATAACATTATTTATTTACAATATTTAGAAAATATAAAACTTGATAAATATGTAACTAATTTTTTAAACTAATATTATATTTTAAATAAACAAAATTAAACATCGTTTACAGTTTTCCTTCTGGAAAGAACCGTCTGTGAATAAACAGGCGGAACTTATGGTAGCCCCGCAGAAACTGTCCGAATTCTACGAATTGATGGCACAGATCCAAGCGCCCTATAAAGTTTCTATTGAGAATGTTCAGGCATTAATCAATCAAACGCCAACCGCAAAAGAATCAGAAACATTTGATTTCACAAAGTATCATACTCTCGATACAATTTACAATTATCTAGACGACTTGGAAAAGAAATATCCCGATATAGTACAAACTGTCGTGGCCGGCAATTCGTATGAGGGTCGTGAAATTAAAGGTGTAAAGATTTCCTTTAAAAACAATAATTCTGGAGTTTTTTTCGAGAGTGGCATACATGCCAGGGAATGGATTGCGCCGGCGACTGTTTTATATATCTTGGATCAATTGCTGACCAGTAACAATACAGACGTCAGAGATCTAGCTGAGAGTCATGATTGGTATATCTTTCCAGTGTGTAATCCTGATGGATATGTGTATACGTACACCACGGTAAGCACGGTTTTTAATGTCTAACGCTGCTCTTCCAATCATCGGATCAAAAAAATTGTGATAACTTATTGACAAAAAGTAACCTATTATTCGATAGATTAAAGTAGTAACAAAAATTAACATTTTTAGTTACTTCAGTTTTATTTTAGTATTTTAGTATTTTATTTTAGTATTTTCAGAGTAATTATATAAGGTTATTAAAAAAGAACATTTACTCTTACTTACTACCTTTAGGTAGACTAACATATAAGTTGTCATCTTTTTTTGACATGCCAAAGAAGGTGACAAAAAAGTGATCAAAGTTAGTAAATGGCAGCGCTGATAAAAATATAAAACATTCAATAAATCAATGTTTAATTACATGAATATTTTTAATTTATTTCAGAACCGAATGTGGAGAAAGACACGTAAGCCATATGGTGACAACTGTTATGGCACTGATCCTAACAGAAACTGGGATTTCACATGGAAAGGTAAGTATTTATATCAAAAAAGTATTATATCAAAACAAAACAAAAAATAAAAAATTGAATATATAGTATCTAATAAAAAGTCGAGATTATTTTATGGACTTTGGAGGGCTTATGATATTAAGATTAGAATATTCGATATTTCTGAATATTTTTATTATATTTATATTATATATTATATATAATTTGATATCTTCAGGTGTAAGCAATGACAATGGCCCATGCACTGAGACCTACCCTGGACCTGCGCCGTTCTCCGATATTGAAACAAAAAGTCTATCCAATTATATCAAATCCATTTGTGACAAATTTTACATATACCTCTCGTTCCATAGTTACTCGCAACTATTAATGTTCCCATATAGTTACACAGTAGAACACGTTGACAATTACAACGACTTGGTGAGTAATTTTAATTATAAAACAAATATAGCTTTGAGAAACATATAATAAAATAATTATGTATAAAGAAACAGTATTGAATTGGTAAAACATTGTAATTGTTATTACTGTATTTATCAGTGAAATAATACACTGAAAAAAGTTCCTAGTTATTAGTCAAATATTGAGTGAAATAAATTTCAACTAAACATTCCGATAATATAACTAAACATAACTTTACCTTTACAAATATTTATATTTTTAGTAAGTATTATCGTTGATAATACCGTTTGATACTTATACTTTAATACTTACTATAAATATTTTTGTAAAGGTAAAATTATGTTTACTTAAATTATATTACTTCAACACATTTAGTTAAAATTATTTCATCGCTCAATATTAATTAGCTATAACTAGATTCTTTTTTCAGTATTGTTATCTAAATTACGAGTCAATGCAAACATGATTATATACAGGATGTCTCTTTATAATGTATATATCAAAATTGCTACAGCAACTTCAGCATATAAAAAATCGAAAATGTCGAATAAACATATGTCCAATTTTGATATAAAGATCCCTATGTATATATTAAGAAGACAATATTAACTCTTTTTACAAACTTAATAACAAATTAGTTTAGTAATTGATTCACAATTCTACACAAAAAAAAATTTGAAACAGTTTATATTACCACTGCACTACGTTTATCTTATTAACTTACAACTTCGTTGTAAAACTACAAAGTTTCATTACCCATAATGACGACTAAAAATAATTTAAAGTTAATTTCTGATTGATAGCAAATTTTGAATACCGACTTTATAATATTATTTGTAAATGCGGCAAATTTTTAATCGGATTGGTCATCCCACTACATATTTATAACGGAATAAAACATATGGTCTTCTTACATAATGCTTAATGTAATTATTTATAAGAAATAATTTGAAACATTGTATATGAATAATGGAACATGAAAAGTTTACATAATTTTAACAATTTTTCAGAACGATATTGGCTTGAAAACGAAGATAGCTCTCGCTGAGAGATATGGAACTAACTACACTGTCGGAGATATTGCCGAGACAATATGTGTGTATAAAAAATTTTATTTAATTTGTTTTCTGTCTCCTCCTCCTCCTCCTCCTCTTCCTCTTCTCTCTCTCTCTCTCTCTCTCTCTCTCTCTCTCTCTCTCTCTCTCTCGCCCTTCATTAAATAAATGAATTTTCTCTCTTCATTTTTAAGCATAAACTGTGATGATTATCTGTCCTTCTACAATTATTGATGTCTAAAGAATCAAGCATACTAATTATAATTACTCACTCTCTCTTTACTTAATCTTCTGTTGTTTAATGCTTTAACAAATCTCTATATATGTTAGTTATTGCGACAATAACATATCACTATAATCTTAGCAATCAAATTGGTTAAGACATTCATCACATCACTGTAGTAAAGAGGTCCAGATCCTGGTGTAGATGATATTTTCGCAATAAATTATTATTTACAGCTTTTTTAGAATATTTATTAACATGAATACGTCATTTCAGTTTAAGATTGCAAAAGACTAAAATTGATTTCGGCGCGCAGTTGTAAAACTGGATGTATATATAAATTCACATCAAAAAATATTACCTAAGCATTAAAATTCAATTCAAATCAATAAAGCTTTTTTCGTTACTTAATGTGTTACATATTGTGTGTATTTACATTTATCTATCTTGTGTTTAATTCTCTATCTTGTCTATATCTAAGTACTTTTTATTTTTCTCGAATGGTTTATTGTGAAGAATCCCTTCTTTCTATTATAAAAGCATTGTAAAATTGCAACAATTATTGCATTCCTAGTTTAAGAAAATTTTAATTGTGTTAAAAAATATGATTCTTTAGATTTACTATTTTTGTACTTAGATGTGACTTTTATTATCTTTAGATGAAGCTTACGGAAGTTCTCTAGATTGGGTCAAATTTGCTTGTGGTACACCTATCCTGTTTGCCTATGAATTACGTGATCAAGGTGAATATGGCTTTTTGTTGCCCTCTGAGGAAATTATCCCGACTGGAGAAGAGACTTTGGACTCTATCTTGGCCATGCTAAAAGAGGCAACTGTACGTGGATATCCATAGAGGAGTATGAAAAAATAATTAAAATTGCCCAAATTTCGTATAAACATTATTATTGATGGCACATTCTTATATTTGACGGTCTGTTAATTTTTCCTACAATATTATTTACATTTGTAATAAAATAATAAATTTTAGTCTTTCCATTCTTAACAATATATGATGTTTCAAATTCAAAATTAAAGATTTGAAAATACTATTAAATAAATAGTATAAAAATGATACGTTTTTCTATATTCCCATTTAAGAATTTTCCTATTCCATCTCAATAATCTCGAGTATTCAGAACTGGCTAGCTCGCGTATAAATACACGAAATGATCTCGCATTATACTATTCGAGACACTACGTGCCTCTTGATGTCTGAAACAAGCCTACATCGCAACGATTAAGTTTCCGTAAAATAAGGTTACCCAGAGGACTTGCTTAATCATAATTTAAATGTCTACGAAGAGAAATTCGTGTTGTACCGAAGAGAGACTCGCAATTACGCACATATTAGGATAACATACTGCAGCTCCGAAAAGATTGATAATATCATGATGCTAAGTTTTCAATTTTACTTATGTTGTATTGTACAAATCTTTTCTAAAGATAAATGAAAAATGGCTTTTTCCGTTTGACTGTAAATAGCGAGTCATTCTATTTGTAATTAAACGGAATTTGAGAAATACGATCAAACCCTTAGAAAATTATTTATAATGTTACGTAAAGGTTATAGTCGTTGAGAGAAAGAATTTACTGGAGCCGAACGATTTGTAGAGCTATCTTTATTCAGCGATTTCGGTAAGTCTGAGATTTAGCGGAGTCCCGTCAATTTTTACCAGTGCTTCGTAACGCGTGTTCGTAAAGCGCGTCCTTTTCTTTCTGGTAGCGCGTATATATTATTGAAAAGAAATTGGATCGTGGCCAAGCGCGATGCGCATGCAAGGAGTTGCCGAGGAAAAATCATAGCGTTCGTTTCGTCTTTATGGTGATGATGCAGGTGATTTAAATTGTAGACTGTAGCACGCGCATTAACGAAATTACATCCATTATCAATCCAAGGGATTTATCGAAATATGCGGAATAAAAATGATTTTATTCGCGTCACGCGTGAAATCTATATGCAAACGCGTACCACTTTTTTTTTCCTTTCCTTTCTTTTCCTTTCTCTCTCTCTCTCTCTCTCTCTCTCTCTCTCTCTCTCTCTCTCTCCTTCTTTCCTTTTTTTTTAAGATATCATTTGCGTTTTATTTTTGCAAAGTAGTTTACAGATATTAATAACAGTTATTTTAATAAGTTATTTTTCGAGAAGAGATGCATATACTTAAGTGCTTTTTATTTATTTATTTTTTTTTTTTTTAAAGAAGATTATTTTTATATGATTAGATATTACAAAATCGATAAAACAAATGATGCGAGAGTCGCATCTCGTCGAGTATCTTTGAAAAATATCAACGCGATATCGCGGCGGTAAAACGGCAAGTTTTAATTTACCGGGAAACGGAGGGAGGAGGGAGGGGGGGGGAGGTGCCGCACACCTGGAAACAAAATACAATGGTGCATTGTCCGCGCGCGCGAGTGTCGGATTTAATCACGGATGTGCCCGCCTTTGTCAATTTCCATAGTTCGATTCTAAGCTATCCACGGCGTTACTCGCCCACGGTCTGGGTCGTGTATACATCGGTGCGTCTGGTAGAACGCGGTTCGTCGCATCCGGCCTACATTGCCGTACGTGCGGCGCGCGTACCAAGGAAATGAGCGAGCCACTAAATAGCCGTGTAACGCGGATCTTACATAACGCTAATGCAGTGGCGATCACTGTCACGCGACTCCTCCTTGGAGCGATTTACTCGCGGCACGCAATAAATTGACGTTGCCTTCGATCTTTTAGCTCGGCTCTGATAAAGTTATCTTACTTCAAATACGTAAGCGAGCACATGAGATTTGTACGAAGATTTGTATCATAGAAACTGAAACATTGTAATATAATCTGTTTTATGTCATATCTTCAACACAATGAAAGGAGAGAGAAAGAGAGAGAGAGAGAGAGAGAGAGAGAGAAAACAGGGAATAAGAGATTTCAATCTATCAGAAAAATCGCCATAGTAAAAAAACATTTTTTTTATTTAATTGCTTACAAAAATGCGTTAAATTTAATACAAATTTTCCACCTGTGCGTGTATACTAGAATTCACGATTTTTTATAAGAGATTGAAGTCTATTCCCAGTTCCTATTGCCTGCCCTTTTCACGGCTCTCTAAATCTGAATCAGTGGATAGTCAGTAATAACCCAGTGGCATACTTGGCACTGATAATCAGTGAAGTTCAACTAGAAAAGGAAAAATGTTTGAGCGTTACATAACTAAAATACTGATATTTGCACGTTAATTTCAATCTTCCAATAGCATATTCATTCAATTCAAGCACTAAAACAAGATTGATTAGATCACATAATAAAGATTAGCTAGGTTAGAGATCTCACATTGGATTGACTGATTACCAGTGGCATACTTGGCGCTGTTATCAGTGATTATTCATTGATTCAGATTTAGAGAGCGTGTTTAAGGCTTTACACTCATTAGCGTTAGTTGCATCGAATAAAAGAGAGAAAATTAAAGCAATTGAGTGGACCGCAAAATAAGTTGTCTGAATGCGTGGCTTTAATGAAAAGAGTCGCAGGGCAATTGGTTTACGCGTTCATGAATTTCATGCACGTGGTGGCCTGGAAAAAGAAACTCGAGGGCATCGATGACATTGCCGAAGCTTCGTCGGCCCACGTAATAACGGTATATAGCTGTACCTTTTACGTGCTCACATGCCTTTAACGACGATACGATAAAAACGGATGGAGAACAATGCGCAGCGATAAGTAGTCACGTGTGTGTGTGTGTGTGTGTGTGTGTGTGTGTATTGACCAAAAGTTTTTAAGTGTGAGTTGATAAGAACAGAATTGATATTAGTGATTTTTCGCGCACATCTACCGAGGATAAAACCGTTCCAACGTTCAAAATACAATTGGAGCGTGAAAAATGCTTTCCTGAAATTAAGTGATAAAAATTTAATGTCGTATGAAGAAACTTACGATTTCCGCAAACGTCACATACGTACGAAATGTCCTACCGGGGTTTTTACTGAAATATAGTAGAATGCAAACTTCAGGGAAGTTTCGAGACAACAACCGTTTCGACAACAATGTCAATAACAAGTCCGCTTGGAATTCGCGAGAAAACTTCTCTTAATTTGTTTCCAAGTTTTGCGATTCAGAATACGCATGTGTGTACTCGTACAATACAGGTGCTACAGCTTACAGCACTTCTGCAGGATACTCGAAAAGTTTGAAGGGGAGCCTAGGGCCTGATTCTCGACAGGTTCGTTTGAGATGGATACGAGCTATCGCGAAAACAGAGAGACAGAGAAAAGGGGGAAAGTAATCCGCGTTACGAGAACGAAGCCGTAGTATTGCGCATAAGAGACGTCGAAGGGACGGTAAATACTTATATATACACTGTATGTACTTATATATGACATCTCGATCGATATGACGAGTCGCAGGTAGCTTTGTTTGCGACTCTTTCTTTTACAAGTCTCGACGGATGGATGAATCAACCATCCACCTCTCACCAAACACCACGGAGATAAGATACTGGCAAGAATCTTGAAGGATGCGCTGATGAATCCGAGATAGTAGAAATCACATGATCATCGATCAAAAACCCGAAGCAATCACAAATGAAT